TCCTCTAAGACCCAATTCCTTGCAGGTAGAACAAAAACCAGCAAAAAAGTTATGTTTACCATGCAACTATTTATGTTGCAAGATGTATAAAGGAGCTCTTAAGTGCATCAGAGACGTCTGATATCAAATGATAAAATGCTTCTCTTGGTGGCCGTGTATGCAGGAATGCACTAGCCCAAGCTCCATGGCTAACGCATGCTGGGGCACGCTTGACTTATATGCTCAATATGTGTGCTGTGTAGTTGAAAATTTCATGGGATGGGTGTTCCTAAGCAGAAAATGGGTGTTATGGTTGGGTATTTATTCTGTAAAGGTGTCTGTGTGCTGTTAATTGAATTGTGTTATATGGCAATGACCTTGTCTAGTTGTGCTTGACAGCTGTTGTTGCAGGTCAGCACGCTCAGTATTAAAGAATCGCTAATAATAGACGAAGTCTTTGTTCTGTTAGTGCATTTAATTAGGTTTTATGGACGTGAATTCAGGAGCTCTTTGAAACAAATGCCGCCAGCATTACTCTGTTGTCTCCTTGCCATCTCATTCAGGCCTTGGCCTTTTCTGGAGCCATGTGTTGGCCATAGACTTGCATCATCTTCCTCCCTCTTCCTTGCTTTTCCTAACATGCTAGGGCTTGGACTGTTTGGGCATCTGGTTGGATCGATTCCATAGCTTTTCATCCAAAATTAAGCTATTTCTTGTCTGTCACATATATAAGAACAACTAAATCTTTTTGCCTTGCCCAGGATCTTCAGTGTCCACTAAAATATCTCAGTGGAATATATGATGCATCTGTTGCTTTCCCCCTCAAAGACTATAGCTGCAAATACAGATTGGAGAGGTTTATTTGAGAAAAGTTCTGCTGGGGAGCCTAGAAGCCTGGGTGAAGGTATGTGCCTTTCCCCTGGTGCTTTGCGCTGCGGAAGGTGTCACCGCTGGGCATGTGGACTCGCCGAGTGCTAGTGCTACATGAGGCTAAATCAGTACGGTGGTTCCCTAGGCTGGGGCCTTGGTAGGGTGAAATGGATGTCAATGTGATAAGGAAAGAGGAGAAAAAATCATGAATATTGAATGTATCCATTTCCTTGATGGATTTGACTCCCTGACCCCCAGAAAGTACATTATGATGGTCCTGCTCGAGAATGCAGGTTTGAAGGACTCGATGATCAGCTTAGAAGTCAATCCATTTCAACATGACTTTTAATTCTAGAAAGTCTTGTGATTTTTGGAAAACATTGATTTGTTTGAGCATTCATTGCTGCCAGTATTGATGTGCCTTTTGAATTAGCTCACCCTAAAGGCATTTAGCTTGCAGCCTCTTCCACAAGAGCCGTCCCTGCGTGCCGAAGTGCCGTGGGAGGCCACGGGAATGGGGCTGCTGCTGTCTCTGCATTCGCCCTGCTCCAAGCTGTTGAATCATCAGCGACCAGCTCAGAGGGCCGCGTTGCTCAGACAGAGGAGGGTATTGAATTTGTTTCCTTCCAAATGTTGAGCCCTGGCCAGTAAAAGCTTTGGTCTCCCTAAGAATTTCAGGAATGCTGTTATGGCGTTTTTCCGTTGAGCGCTTGCAGCTTTGAATCAATGAGCTAGTAAAATGAACTAATATGAACAGAATGTGATTTCTTTTAGTGAAATAGTTATGATTCATTTTTGTGTTTTCCGAGGCCGAGCCATTTCCATTATGCGCTATCATGATTGGCTTTGGAAGGACATGGTGTACTGTTCAAGTCCGTGTAGATTAGACAAGCATAAATGGGAGTAAAGAGCCTCTTTTATAGCCTAATAGCTCTGTGCAAGAAACACAGTGAATAAAACAAACAAAAATGTGTTAAGTTGTCTCAAGTTAAACATCAGATATTCCTTTAGCTACTTGTTGGCTCTTTATCGGTATGCCTTTGCCATAGAGTTGGTTTAAATTTTAACAAGGCATGATTGAAAGCGCTTTTGCATTTACATAAAGAGTAAGGAAAACTTACAAAAGACTGGTGTTATATGTTATGGTTTCCGTAGGCTTTGGGGTTATAAAATATACTGGCCTGGCATGCTCATCTAGAGAAAGTCAAGTAAGCTCATTCATTATTTTTTAAAAAAATGAGGCATTCCCTCAATTTCCCACTCTTATCCTCAATAAAATGTTGCCCTTTATCCACTCTAGCTGCTCCCAGATGGAGAGCTCAAGAAGCGCAGAAGAGATTTGAAGACCTATTTCCACCTGTGGGGTAGAGGATGAGGTTCCTCCTTCCTCAGGGGTGGAGAAAATGGAAATATGTTTTCCTCCCCTCTTCTGCCTTCATCTCTGAACCTTAAAGCGCTCCTGATGTTTTTGGTGGCTCAAATTCTTTAGTAATATGAAAGGGGGATTGAAGTAGGGTTGTTTTCCATCTGGTCTGAAGAAGTTCATGATTGTTGCTGAGTCATCTGTACTCAAGCAAACGGCATCACGTAGTTGTGCTCAGTCCTGCTGCAAGGAACTGCTTGTAGTAATTAATATTATTAAATATTTTAACATATGGTAAACTGCAAGTACAGAATTATTCTTCTGAGATTATTGGTGTTTGGAAAACCTAAGGCACTGTGCTAGCTCATGTTGAACGTAAACATATTCTGCTTGGAAGTTTAGTGCTGCATCTCCGTGTGCTGAGCCATTAAGAGGAGACTAGGTAAATCCTTTGCAGTTGTTTAAAACAGCACTTGTGCATTTTAATGTGGTACTTGTGAGGAAAGGGTGCCTGAAATATGTTTAAGGAGGTCATAGGAAACCCCAGGAGAATTCATCCAGGCTTTTGTCAATGCCTGTTCATCTCTTGCTTCTTCATGTTCCTCTTGGAAGTTCTTCCATTCCTGGTAACACCTGAAGCCTGGAGCCTAAGGATGGGGCTAAACCACCTCTTCTACCAAGATCCTACCCTTCCTGGCTCATGGAGCTGGGCTTCAGGAGGAAAAGCAATTGCTTTAAAGTTGACTGAGGTATAAGGAATATGCATATACAGGGCCATGGGGTTTGGAAGGAGGAGGCCCTGGAGGCCAGGTAGGACAGGGAGCCAAGCAGGTAGGCTGAAGAGGAGAGATGCACGAGTTGGCAGCAGATGGCTAGCGGTTAGGCCTGACTTTGCTGGAGATGGACTGTAAAGCATCACTCCAGGAGGAGTGGACAGGGTGGGCTGTAAATGACCAGGAGACTTCAGGGCTTGGATGTTCACCTATAGGAATAAGCCACAAAGAGGGGATTGATGTTCCTGGGAGGGGAGGAGGAGGGATGGAAAACAACTGAGCGTGGGCATGTCTCTGGCCTAGCGATTTCGGAGGGGTTTGAGCAGATAACGAGTACGGCAGCCTAAAAACATTTTGGAATTCTCTATGGAAATGCTACTTAACTATGTGCTTGACATCAGCATTGTGCAGTAAATGCAGGTACAACTTGCTTGTTTGGCAGGTTTCTGGTACTGCTGGACTTGTTTCAGTCAACTGAAGCAAATCTGTATGCAACGCCTTGAGTTTAAACAAATTTGGGCATTCAAATAGGAAAAAAATCACTCAGTATCCTCCTAGGAAATCCCCTTTCAGCCAGGTTCAATGCCCCATGTGACAAGCGATGCGTCTTCCTCACCTTGGTGATTTGACTACAGCAGAGCGAGGTAGGCAGCAATTGCAGCCGGCAAGGGTTGTGTCCGCGAGTCTAAACCGAGCTCCCCGCTCTGCAATCCTTCCTTGGGCTTCACCCAACCCTCCTCCATGGGAATATCTGCAGTTTACTTCCAGGCTCTGCTTGTCAGAGCAACCATCCTCATCCTCTTGCCCCAGCTGGCTTGACCGGGATGACAGCCTGTCCCTACGTGTAGCTAAATAAAGTTCCCCGGGGAAGAGAGAAGTAGAAGTGAGCACTGAGCATCATAGCCCGGGGATGCGTAAGGGGAACATTACCAGCTGCCTTTTCGGGAAGGCTTCCTTGGCCTTTCTTCTCCTTTCAACTGCAAAATAAAAGTGGGAAAGGTCATTTGAAAAGCTTGGGATTGTTAAGGTTAAACCCCGTTTTCATCTTTTCTAGTAAGTAGCGGAGTAGGAGATAACTCTATTGGGAGCTAGGACCTCAATTCTGATATTAAGCCTCAGTCCAACGTGTATTTGCAATTGTAATTCGGTGCACATACACAAACAGCTCTTGGAAATTATCGTACATAGAATTGCTTTAAATAAGGTTTGGATTGGGAGAAAAGTTAAAAGATTATCAAGATGGATTAAATAAATGAAGTTTTAACCACACCTAGCAGATTGACTCGTCCTATCGCTGGGAACAGGGTTTTTAAGATACCCTGGGCACAATTGGGAATTACGGATCTCAGCTGAGCAACTTTGAGATGCGGCGCTGAGAGGTTTCGCCCAGCTCCTTCGTTCAGAGATTGCTTTTAAAAAGCAGTAGCAGACTGTCCATGTTAGCTTTATTAAATAAAAACCTAAAATATATTTCCAAATTAATATTAATTAAAATATTTCAATTTGGGGACAATTACAGCAAAAAAAAAAATTGAGCGTTTGAAATACTGAAAATCCTATAGGTTAAGTGAATGTCACATGCTACACTGTCTGACATCCGAGCAGCCTTCAAAGTGTTTTCTTTAATTTCATACCTAATTAAAAAGCAGCTTCCTTCAGCTCATTAAGAGTAGGAGTCTTGTTGAAGCAGTGTACTTCTATATTTATTTGCATGAATAAAATATAGGCCTTAATGTAGAATATAATAGTTTAAAATATTAAATGTGTCTAGTATAACTAATGCGTTATATTTAAACAGTGTTTATCCTTCCTTCAGGCTCATCAACCTGCAAATCAACGTGGTCCCAGAAGTTTATCATGTTATTTTGTAGACCGTTTCACTGACTTTCCCCACTTTTTTTTTTCCTAGTAATTATCTGCTGAGAGCAAAATCTCCAAAGTTGCTTGGGCTGTGCCTGCAAGTTAGGTATGGTGGTGGCTTTTCCAGTCTAACGATGGTATCTCTGTTTTAACAGGCTTTTGGAAATGCCAAGACAGCCCACAACAACAACTCGAGCCGCTTTGGCAAGTTTATCCAAGTGAATTACCAGGAGACGGGCACTGTGCGCGGGTAAGTGCAATCCCGGCTGGAACGTGGTGTTTAACAGCAGTGTTCTTCCTTGCACAGGGAGGCTAAGCTCTTAGAGGTAATGCATGAAATAAGATTGATTTTTTTGGCCGGAATATTTCCCAAAATTATGCCCTTTTTTTTTTTTAAATTTATATAAACCATTTGGCAATGTTGGCATATCTGTGCTGCAAATGGAAATGAGAAGATGCCCGAGCTTGCTTGAAACCAGCCAGTGTGTGCCTGGATCTTGGGGCAGGAGAGGATGAAAAGCAGCCGGCTTGGGCTCTCCCGTTCCGGCCGGGCTGGTCCAGCTCACGCGCTTGTGATTTAACCATCACACACTCGTGATTTATCCATCCGTCTCCCATTAATCATGATGTCACCCGCATAATTAAGCGGAAATGTGTCTTTTCTGCAAACAGCCGCCACGGCAGCAGAAGGGAACACGTTAGCCTGGTAGCAGAAGGGCACAAGTGGCAGCAAGCCAAACTCCGATGAGATACAAACATTCTGCTGGTCAAACACTGGGACAGGGGCCCTGTCCCAGAGATACTAAAAATCTCTGTCCTTGAAGGTACCAAGAACTTGTCAGGCAGCTCAGGGTGTTGTGCAGTCTGAAACACAGTTTCAGCTGTGTTTTGAGTAGGCTCTTGGACAAGATGACCTCCAAAAGTTCTTTTCAGCCTAATTATTGCATAAATCTGTCTGAGAAATTGGCGGAGGCAGCTGCTTTGGAGGTTGTAGGATGATGCAGTTGCTTTCATCCACTGTAAAAGTGGTTTCAAGGCTGTTGGTGGTGGGTTGAGAGAGTATCAGAGGTTTTACCGCAACCTGAACTAAGTGCTTGAGCAGTTAGCAGGTGGGACCTTGTTCAATAAAAGCCCAGTACAGGACAGAATGTAGAAAAGCAGGAAAACACTAATGATGTTTTACAGATATCCAGGTTGGAGATTTTAAGGGCTGTTAATGGGAGTATTGCGCTTCTTTAACTATGGCTAAAACTTGCTGTGGCCAAGCTGGAGGGCTATGGGGAGCTGCAGTGACCTCCCTGCTTGCTTGGAGCTTGCGAAGACATCTCCTGTAGTGATGCTACTCCTCTGTCCTGGGCAAAAGGCTGCTCCAGCTGCCCATGTGCATTAGAGCTGCTCTGGGGAGCTCACCCTGTCACAGCTCCTCATGTCTGCTTGCTTGTGTCATTCCTAGAACCCATCTCTCTGTCCCCGCGGTGTCCAAGGAGACCCTCGTTTCCATCATGGTCCTCCACCTTACAAGTTGTGATTTCTCTCCAGCGTTGCTCCTGCTCTCCAAAACTCAAGGGCAACGCAGCTGAAATTCACATTACTAAGTGGAAACGCTGTGCATGGGCTCATGTGAGCTGGGCTTTCCTTGCAGCTCGCTTCGGGGTCAGGGTATCACTTAAGCTTGCTGTAAATGAGCAAGGGCTACATCAGCTCTGCTTTCGTCTGGGCTAATTAACTTGACTGCAAAATAAAGTGCCAAAGTGGCTTTCTAGGGGATGTATTATTTCTGCAGCTAGCTGAGATGTCTCTTGCTGGGGCTTGTACCTATTTTTAGCGAGCTGCTTTAAATTTTTTTCTCTTATTTTTCAGCAGAGCAGTATCACACAAATGCCTTTAATCATTTTTCTTCCCTTCTTCCCTTGCTTATGAGTTTGAATAGTCCGTAGACCTTTCAATTTAGCAACTGTTTTTTCATCCCATTTCTAGTCTGATGATTATTTTTTATTATTAAATTTGGTCAGCAGTTCAGTTATATAAGGATAAGCCTGAATTTTTAAATTCCTTAGCGTCAGGTAGCAGGAATCCAACACATGTCTTAACAGCATGTTTATATATATTATATATATATTGGATATACTTTGTCACGATATATCTGCTCTCCTGTAGTGGCCTCTACTGCTGTTTGCAGGTCTCTGCCAATTATCGTTGTACTAGTGTCTTCTGGCTCTAGAAAGAAGAGGAATACTCTTGTCTTTTCTGTAAAAATGTGCTTATCTGGTCCTTTATTGCATGGTGTGAGGTGTCTGTGCTTTGCTGCGAGCTTGAAGCGCTACCCCGCTGACAGTGAAAAGACCTTTTAAAAACTGTGAGCTCTTCCTGGGGGATGAGAATAAAATACTGCATTTCCATAGCCTTAAAAAGAACTTCACAGGTTTGTTTTGTCTTTTTAAAAAAGCTTTGCTTAGGTTTTAAGTGCTTTGAGTCTGGCTACCTGAATGGAGGATCTCCCCGTTCAGTGCGTACGTTTGCTGTGCTCCACATAACTGCAAATCATGACCCCAAATCAGAAATTTGCACTCTTCCTGGGCTGGAAATATCAGCCACATATTTGATTATGAACTGAGTACAAACCAGGACTTGAAGAGAATATAAACTTAAGATATGCAATAGCTGAGATATTTAGCAGTAGCCAACTCCACCCCATGAAATGAAGCCTTTGAAGATGTGCTTTAGATTGATGGGCCATGAGCAATGGGTACGTTTAAGTGCGTTCCCATGAGACTTTATGACTTTATTAAGTCCTGTTCAATGATAAGTGACTTCTGGAGAACGGGCTTTACCAACTCCCTGTAAGATGATCAAAAGCCAAAACATCTTAAATGCTTCATGAAATGGCAGAAGAGCCAGATAGGAGACATTTAATTAAAAAGCAACAGTGCAGAGGTATAATGTTAAATTTGTGCAGTGGCATGAGCCTGTATCACAAATACCATGAGTTAGCACTTTCAAGCATGTTGTACTTGAGTGCTTTGCATGCTGGCATACGCATATTAAATTCATCCTCAAATTTGAGGGCAATACTACTGGTTTGCTAAATACAGGTTCAGTAGCATGGCTGGTTTAGTATTTTGCACAAGCTCATAACTCTACTATTAAACCTGTGAATAATGGAAAGACACATTTTATATAATTATGTAATTTATATAATTGGCAAGAGTGGAAAGACATTTGGGGATGTCTGGTACTTATTTTAGTTTCTCTTTTCATGATCCTATTATAAGAGTGTGCTTCTTGGGACATTTATTCATTATGATCTTTGCAGCAAGCAAGGAGCATCTTTCGGGAATGGCGTTTTGGTTGGATCTACCAAAAGAAAAATGTAGTTGGCCCTGCTTTAAATAGGGGATTTGACTGTGTCATATGACTGCCATTGACTAGATATCTCCAAAGGGCTCTTCAAACCTAAATTATTGTATGAATCTTACCTTTATTTTTTTGCATATAATGAGAACAGAAATTACCGAGGAAAGGATTAACTGTCAAGAGTGATGGACTTGATCCAGACTGTCTAATAGTGGTGTGCTGAACTGCTGCCTGAGCGGGATTGGGACATTCGAATACCCTTTTCCCTACCCCAATCACTCACTGAGTCTACTCTGAATTTCATTTCTTGGCCTAAAAAATTGTCAAATATGAATTTATCCTTAAAGTGAGAAAGAGAAGGCAAAGGGGTGTTACTGGAGAGGATCATCCAAGTCTGTTAGTGCACCTTAGGAGCAGCAGTACTACCGCTTTGCTCAGACTTGGTGTCCCTTTCTTTACTCTTCCAACACATGAAGAGCATCCCATTGTGGACTGAATATGCCGGTCACGGTAGCTTCTCCCAGGAGCTGCCGAAGGGGCTGTCCCGAAACTCTGGGGCACATCCAAGCGACTTCTCTGGGAGAAGGGAAGGCTTGTCGAGAACACAAGCCATGAGTAGGTCTGCTTCCCCAGCGGGAGGTCTCAGTGAGGACCTAGGTGTAGAGGCATCTCGTTGGCCCGCAGTGTCCGAAGTCCGTGGGATTTTCTGCATGTACGTGCTACTTAACAGAGTTGTTGAAACCATGCTGAGGTTACGGCCACGTCATTGGACTTCTATGGCTGCTTTTGCATTTCGAGTTGCATCATCAAAAGTGACAACTCCCAGGATCTAAATCCCTATCGCTACTCTGCAGGAAAAAAAGATGAATCTTGTTCTAGCTAGAAAAGCTTTGTATTAATATGTAAATTAAGCGTGTTTATTATGAAGGCCACTGGGATAAAATGTCAGCTCCACAAACTTGTGCATTTTTGTTTTTTTCAAGCATAGCCACGATGTAATATGCCAAGTTTTTATTGAAAAGCAGCCGTTCTGGCAGAGAGGAGTGATAATTTGGGTACTGATTCTGTAGCTAAATTTTCCTTTGCAAACTTGTGCATCCAGATGTTTTTCGTACTGAAGCAGGATCTGATCAGACACGACCCTGGGTCTGCAAGTGATTTTTTTTTTTTTTTTGCTGGCTTTGGGTTAAATAGGTATCCTAGATTCGTAGTTTCTGTCAAAATTTCCCCTGTGCTCCCTGCCCATAGGCTAGCTCATCTGAGATCATGTTTTTCATATCCAAGTTAGTTTTGGCTTTGTATCAAACCCCAAAAACCTCAAAAGCCAAACATAATATTGGGCTTGTTCAGCCTAGGAAGAAATTTATATAACTAAGTGAAACAAGGCTGAAGCTTTTTTTTTTTTTTTTTTTTTTTTTTTGTATACCGAAACTGAAAAGTCCCAGTGAAGCTGCGTTCGTTTACAGTCAATATTTGGTCAATGAATAACTTTTTTTTTTTTTTTTTCCCCTCCCTTCCAGAGCTTATGTTGAAAAGTATCTCCTAGAGAAATCCAGACTAGTCTATCAGGAACACAATGAACGGTAGGTGTCTATTTTGCTTCTATGGTTGGTTTTGATTTTTGAATGTCTTGATAGCACAGCAAAGGGAGCTCAAAATCTTGTTTCAGCTGGAAAGGGGGGTCAAGATTGTCACATTTCTAATAACGTGATGATAGTTACTTCCACAATAAATCATGTACTTAAATTCTGTGTCATGCTGGCTGGAGCGAGCAAGAAAATCTCTAGTTTGAATTTGGAGTAGAAGATACCAAGTTGTCTCATCTCACATCCTGGCCCGCTGAGCGTGTGTTTAAACTAGCTCTGATCACACATGCTGTAATGACTAAGTGCAACAGTAAATACCTGTGCATCGAGGACTGCCTGCCAAAAAATTTGAAATAAGTGAGCAGGATTTGCATTTTGCCAAAATGTGGCAGATGGAGGCAGCAGCTTTGCTACGTTAGCCTAGAAAATAGTGCTGGTGCAAAAAGTGCTATCCAGGCGTTGCAGATCTGTATCTCCCATTTTCTAAGCAAGTGCTCTGATGTCCAAGCTGCTGCCTGGTGAGTGACTCCATTCTGTCTCCCGAACTAGGGTTAGATAGCCCAGATTTCAGGTGGATGATGAATCCATCTTGTTTTGATCGTTTCCAGCACCCAAGGATTTTGCACTGCTCCATGTGCCAGGAGCATGAAGGGATCTCCACCCGGATTAATTCCTAGCTCACTCTGACTGGTGGCACAGATGTGTTTGAAGCTGCTGGCTAAGTGGAGATCAGAACCCATTTTTGCTTCTGAGCAAATCCTCAGATTTGCTTCCTATTAAAGCAAGAACCATCCACTCCTTGGGCTATGTTTTTAGAAGGGGGAAGCTCAGGGACGTGTTGGAGGAGAAGGCAGATTTGTTGGCTGTGCCCAAGGCCATGAGATTGGGAGCAGCTCTCTGGATCCACCGCTTGGGATCTCGGAGTCAGGCAGAAGTAGATGACCCAGCTGCTAAGGCCACCCTAGCCCTGGGCAGCTGCAGGAGCAGATCTCAGATGCTGGTTGAACTGCAGAGCTGCTTGAGGTGGCCACTGAACTTCAGGCTTTTTGATGTCAGTTTTGGAGCTGGGTGCTGAAGTCCACCTGACTACTCTGATTTTGAACAAGTTTGCTGCTTCTAATGTGACAGAGTGTGAATTTTCTGTCTTCTGAGGTGTCTCAGCTCTCAGCACCTCTGGCGGTGCTCCCTTGGAGGTAGTTGGTCTTGTGGAAGTCTGTATCAAATCTGGGATGCAGATGGGAGATTCTTGTCACTCACCGGGAGGTTGTAACCTCCCCTTCACCAGCCAAAGGGTCTAGTGGGAGATGTTTCTTCAAATGCTGATGGATTGATCCCAAAGTTAAATGACATAGCCTCCAGTGTGACAAATGTACTTGGGAGCACTGTAAGCAGGCTAAATATGTTTCCCCTTGGAAAATGTCTGTCATAAAAGCCAAGTTTTAATTTTAGAAATACTCTTCTGTTGTTAGCACTAAGGGTTTTATAGTCATTTTGAAACAAAGCAGATGCACTTACTTGGTGCTTTGTACTATTAGTAATATTCAAGTATTTTGAATATGTTAGTAGCCATGAAAATAGAAGAATTTCCATTCTGACTCTACAATACTGGAACTGTGAAATTATTGGCTTCTTTATGGCAATGCAGTTTTTTTTAATAGTAATTTCTGAATTTTAGGGAAGTATGTTGTTTCGATTCCAGCAAGTATGTAGCCATTCCACGCATTTGTGGAGCAAAACGTGACTATGTTATCTAGGAATTTTAGAACTGCATTGCTGGAGGGTGCGTGTCCTTGGATGGAATAGAGCACCTAGTTCTCTGTTACCTGGTTTGATCTCCTGCAGCAATGTAAGCTGGATATGGGCTGGTCTCAAAACCACTGTCTGCATTAAATCAATGCCACACAGTCACTGCAACGCAGTCTGGACTTTGTGTATTTATTCCATGTGCCCACTAAGGGCTTTTTAAATTGAATTCGGGGCTTCTTCATGCATTTCAGCTGAATTTAGCACTCTAATCTTGGCTTGAGCTCAAGAGGTTGAGCCCTTCTTGAAGGGCTCTAGTGGCGTAGGGTTTCACTGGCTGTTAGGTGTCCCAACAGCAGGGTGTCTTTCAAGTGACCACGACTGGGTGTATCACCATGTAAACTCTGCTTATGGTAAGTCTTCCCATCAAATAAAATGGTCTGGACTTCACATTCCTCCTGGTTTGTTGGGAACTGGGTGGTCGCAGGGAGTTTTTGGTTTCAGTAGGTCTCTTAGATGTCCAGGAAACAGATGCATCTCATTCAAGACACATTTGAAGATATGCTCTGTGCCCTTTCCAAATTCATGATTTTTTTAGGGGTTTTATCTTGCTGCCCTGCCCACTAAGTGGCTGACTTCTATCAAAGTCACCTTGCTAACGTGGAACCGTGTCGCCTTCCCTGCGCTGTGTGCTCAGGATGCCCACCAAGCCTGAGTTTACAATTGGGAAATTGGTGTTTGCTTCTCTGTTTAAGACTGGTATTTGGTTTCAAGTTTAACATCATTTTTATTTGTTACCAGGAACTACCATGTATTTTATTACCTCCTGGCAGGAGCGAGCGAGGAAGAAAGATCCGCTTTTCATCTTAAGCAGCCTGAGGAGTATCATTACCTCAACCAGGTGGGCCAGCCTTGCAGTGGGCACTCAGCTTGGTTGACCGGTGGCCTTTTCTGTTGCTGCTGCTTAATCCCAGTAAAGAAAGTGGGGGCCACAGGAATAGCTGCTACAGTCGGACAGCTAAATTTATGCTTTAGCAGACCTAATTTACTTCAGGTGTTTAAGATGCTGTTATCAACTGATGCTGCTTTTTTTTTGCTTGAGAGAGAGGAGAAAAAAAAAAGACTAGGAATGGGGAACTTGTAGTTACTTCATATGACGATTTTGAAAAGTGTCGTTGCAATTTTCGTTGAGTGGAAACTTGAGGAGCAGGAACAAGTAGGTTAACCTAGAACAGAGAGAAACACTCATGCACAGAGGGATAATACAAATAGCCTTTAGTCTAGCTAGAAATATAATTTAACGCCGTTAAATGTCTCCATTACCCAGCGCTTTTTAAAGACCTTTAAAGTGGGCTATCAAAGTCAAAGTATATTGTAATATTAATGACTACCACCCACGCTTAGCAGGATCAGGAAATTCACACAAATGAGGAACATATTAAGAGTTTCAGGCTCTTGCTCCGTTGCCGCGTTTGTGCCTTCCACGTCCGTATGCGCTGCAGAGGTTGGGGAACGTCGTGTGTTCTCTACAGCCATCTGCGCCGCAGTCTTGAAGTCGGGAAGTGCCAAGATAATTTGGATTGAATGTTTTGGCAGCTTCGCAGATGTTGTTGGGCAATCCGGTAGTTTTATGTTAGTCTAAAACATTGCTTTTAATTATAATCCTTTTTTCCCCCCTCTTCTTTTAATAGTAGCAGTTAAAATTTGAAGGGCTGTAACACTTTAAGCAATATAATAAATCCTGGGGCCTATAATGTATTGAGCTGAAAAGAATGAATATTATAGGTTGAAAAATGTGTTTTAATCTACATTCTGTCTAAGTAGACTGCAAAAGATGCAAAGCTCTGTCCAGTGGATCACGGAAGTAGGCTCTGGACTTACATAAATGCAATATGTGCAGCATAGTGACGTTTTGGATTTTTAGTGTTTTGATCATAACCATTTTATTGCACTTATTAGTGTGAGAGAGACAAGTTTGCATTGAAAATGATGTGAAAATAGCTCCTTTGAATATGTTCAATGCTCCATTTTGTGTTAAGGCTTTCTAACAGTGCAATAACATCTTTCCCATGCCCTTTAGTCAAGGGAAGAAAAGCAAAATAAAGAGAAAACAGGAAAAAAAAGAGAGGAAGTTAAATAAGGATGTAAACTCTGGAAACGTAGAAGGGCAATGTAATAAAATGACCTGTGACCGTGGCTTCTTAAACGTGTCAGAGAGAAATCCATACCCATTGAAAGGAAAAAGAGCAGACTTGGAGATGAGCATAGAAGTTTAGCTGTAAAAATTAAAACTACAAAGCTATCAAACCTTGAAACAGATCCTTTAGCTCAAGGACTGACTTAGCCCTTGAGGCAAAAATCATTTTCCTGTTCCCAGGTTCCTCAGTTCACACTGTGTTATGCAAAACAAAATTGTGTTTTGCATTGCAGATGAGAAGTAATCTATTCTGAGATTTCAGCCTAAAATGTTCTGTCATTTTGTTGATGTAAATATAGAAAGCAAGCTGGAAAAAATATTTTTGTTTTTTTATGAACAACTTTATTTGCATCTGCTGAGTTTGGACGTCTTCTACGTACCGGATAAGACTGGTAGAAGTCCAGCCCTGCAACTTGCGAACATACTTTGCGCTGCTTATTTGTATTAATCGCTTAATCCACTGTTTATTTGAATTAATATTAGTCCAAATACTGCCTAACTTGATCTGCTTTTGCTTTTCAGCTGACGAGGAGACCCCGTAGGCAGAGCTGGGAGGACTATGGCTGCGATGGCGAGCCGGTCAGTACAACCAGCACCGTCCCCTCCTGCCTGGCTGCGGCCGAGGAGAAAGCAGAAAGCAGATTAGTTGCCAGTAACTCTCTTCACCCTGCAGTGATGTTGCTCTTGATTTAGCTCAGGACAATGTCAATGCTTTCTGCGTTGTCCTCTTGGTTGCTTGCCTCTTTTGGGTGTTAGCTTGGGCATCTAGTCTGAAGAAATACCTGTAACTTTTTGTTAAAATACCTGTTCTTTAATAAACCATGTTATGTGATGGTGAAAATTCTCATCAATTTATGGTAAGAATAGCTTGGCCCCTAGAGACGGCTCGTTTCAACAGTAGTCCACAGTGGCTACAGTGGTATAACTGCCGGCCAGCTTCTAGGAAAAAGGGGGAAAATGGAGAAAAAATGCTTAATGCTTCTAAAACTCAGCAAATTATACGTGCACACACACACATATCTATATATGGTGTATATGGTTCATGGTAGATGACCTCTTTTCTCCAGTGATGGTTTGCCCTTAAAGATACCCTGGGCTTTTCCCTGTCACCCAGGACGATTGCTAGGGCTCAAGCCACCTGTAAATGTCCTGATGCTGCTGTGGCACTCAAAGCGATGCCGGAGGAGCGGACGAGGTGCTTGAAGCACACACTCAGCAGTGTTGGAAGGGCTGGGTACGGTTGGTAATTAGCCACAGTTATTCCCCATAATGTTTGTGGGGCCTCCTGTATATCTCATTCCCCCCCTGCCAGATTGGAAATGTTCTAGTCGCTGATAAAAAGCATGGAAATTACAGACTGCTATTTATGGAGTGCTGAAGCGGCCATCTGGACCTGTTCTGCTCTTAATTTCTTTAACTGCTTCATCTTTCTCTTTGAACCCCGCAGGACTGCTTCTCCGTCGAAGGGGAGGACCTGAAGCACGACTTTGAGCGCTTGCAGCTAGCCATGGAGATGGTGGGCTTCCTCCCCAAGACTCGCAGGCAGTGAGTTTGTTTGCCATATTAAGAGCAGGCATAATCAGGAAAATATTGCACATGGCTTAGGCTAACTTGATCTACTGGGCTCTGTCAAAAATATCAGATCGCTGTTGTGATATGTTTAAAGGTGTAAGCAAAATGCACCCATCAGCAGTGTAGGTTCTGCTTATGCAAGTTGAGGGGCTGCAAGAGGTTGGTAACCTTAAAACATTTTTGAACTATTTGTGAATAAACCTGCCTTTTCCGACAGGTTCTCTGGCTACTCTGTGTAACATTAATCCAGAAACTGGTGTAAACCCTTGTTGTAATCTTTGAATTATTAGTTGTGCTTAAATGCTTTGCACTGACCTGCCAGTTTGGAAGAAGGATGTTACCATCAGGCCTTCATCACCAGGACAGTGGATGAAAACTGAGCCTGTTGCTGTCTTCTCTGGGAAATGACATGCTTGGAGTTGGGGCTCCTCTTCAACTGAAACTGAAAATAATTCTTGGGAGTGTTAATCATTGGTGTATTTCATTGTTTGATCGTCTTGAGAAAGTTAGAATGAATTTGACCAATATGTTATTAAAGGAGTTGGCACATAGTAAAAAAAATATATATTAAAAAAATGACCTCAAAGCAAGTATTGTTTTTGACAGTATCCGTGTCAGTGAAATGCAAATCAGTAACTGGAACACACACTTTTTTTAATGAGTAAAAGGCTTGAACCGTAATTTAATGAACACATTTTCCTTTCTGTTTGAAATATGTGGCAACAGGGAGTTACTGCTTTGTACTAATGGCACTTGAAGCCCTATTCATCACCAAGGGTAAATGAAGTTTAAGATGCTAACATCTTTTGCAGCTGAGTGGATTGCCTCCTTATGTTTTAAGCATCATTTTCCTTTATTTTTGAGTCTGAGCAAAGCGCCTGAGCTGTCATTTGGAAGCCCTTGGCTGTGGGACATAATATCCCATCTTCTACTCCCATATAAAAATGTTTCATCAGTCTGAAAATCTTTTTAAGCTATGTAGTCCTGTTACAGCAAATAGAAGGTAGAAGTCATGCTGGGGACCAGGTATATAATTAAAAGCTAAGTTTTACAAATCAGAATTTATCAACTTGAGGCCAAAGTTGCTACCTAAAATTTTATATTACTTTTATTTATTTTTACATATTTTTATTGTTACTTTCTTTTATTTAGTTTTTCATGCCAGAGATCTGACTAAATTAAAAATGTAGCCAAGTGTCACTGTTCTTTTTATCTCTGCATAGTCAGTGGATTAGTTTAGATATGACTTATGCCATGTATGATTTTATTTACACAGGTACATGTGCACACACACACATCTGTGAAAAACAGAACTCATTTCTATTTGTTTTTAGCTTTCCTGAGTGTGCACAACTAGGCACACACATTTTATAGCTGAAGTGAGCTATGACTGGATAATCTCAAAGAGCAGACATTGTAGAAGGAAGAATATCACTCTAAACATTACCAAACTATCCCCCCAAAAAGTTGGTTAGATAAATGTAACGGGAGCAGTGATTTTCTCTTTTTTTTTCCTGTCTTAATTTGCTTATGTAAAATAAAAGCGTTTAAGCTCTTTTGTAGAGGTTTCCAAGCTGAGACTAAATCCGAGAGGGCGTCCCCACACAGGGCAAGTTCTGGCTTGAGTAAGTGAGAGTGAAGTCTTGTGTGATGCAACTTGGGTGCTTATTTTGAATGCCAGGTTGTGAGCAAGTGCTTGGAAATTATGGGCAGAAAGTGCTTCAGATTGTCCATAACATGAGCAAGCTAACCAGGAAGATGCCACTTTGAGGAGGGAGGATGAAAAGTATTGTAGGAGTGGCAAAATATTAAGTAGTGCAAGAAGTGGGCTGAGAAATTGCATTCTTTTAAACTGTTTTGAAGAGTTTTGTAGTTTTGCTGTTTTCCTGGTGATGGCATCCAATAAATGCTGGATTGAGTTTTGCAGCAAAGTTGGCTATGGAAAATTGGGAGGCTTTTTCCTTAGCTTTGAGAAATATGACCAGCTGCAAACGAATTCTCTTTATTCTCTTTAGAATCTTCTCTCTCTTGTCTGCGATACTACATTTGGGTAACATCCGCTACAAAAAGAAAACGTATCGGGACGATTCCATCGACATTTGTAACCCCGAAGTACTGCCGATCGTCTCGGACCTGCTGGAGGTAAAGCCTTCACTTTCCATCCTGCAGTGTCTGCATGTCCTTCTAATGAGCTACCTTTATTTTATAATAGAATTTATTGCCATTTTCACAGAATTTTCTCTCGTGGTAACCATTAATATTGGCCATTCTTACGTGTAAGTCGGTGAAAAGTTTAATGATTTTTGGTGTAGTGGGTTTTTTTTTTCCCCTAATCTTAACGTTATTACAACTTTGGTTTCATTATGCTGTATAATTAACTGAAAATAGTGTTTCTGTGATTAAAATAACAGTGTAAACCAGTGCTAGGAGGAAGTATTTTCTTAATTTGATAACCATCATCTCCCCCTCACTAAAATTCCTCACTGCTCCTGATGTCTATTCCAATACTTGCATAGAGAGCCAGTGAAGAAACTAGAGCAACTGGAAGGATGGATGGTCCGTCCAGCCTCCTCTTCTGTTTCTGGTAGTGTCATTGGGAGATGCTG